CGAATATATGTATACTATGAGCTTTTAATGTATATATATATATATATGTATTCATATAGATCTGGTATACATTATTTACAGTCCATATTTACTTATATTACATCGCAGGTGTGGGGCGTGTGTAGCACTACGCCTTTGAAAAGTGCAATCACATCCAACGTCGGACGGTGATGTGCTCTGCTATGCTGCTGCTGCTGTCAATTGTGTTCTCAAACTATAAAATTGTCCGTGCGGCTGTCCACTCACACTTTTATGATTTTCCTTAGATAATCGCACTGTGATCGAATTCATCAGTGTCCATGTTTACTTATTACAATTGCATTATCTCGTAATGCGTGCAGTTGGCGGCTGCTGCTCCTCCGTGACAGCAACCTCTGGCCTCCCCGGTCGCACTAGAAGTAGCCTCCGACGGATCTGCCTGACCCTCCCCAGGGCAGGTGATGGTGGTGGTGGTGGTTGTGATTATTGTTACTGTGATTGTGATGACGATGATAGTACGACGACGACGAAGAGGACGAGGACAACGGAGTCGTCGGTTGCACGTCAACAAGTCGGTTATCGATACCGTCGAGGTTATCCTCCACGTCGTCGGCTTCATCCTCCGCCTCCACCTCCACATCCCGCTGCTGCAGCTGAGGCTCGACAGGCGGCACGCGGCCCATCAGCAGCTACGAGCTCGCGTAACTGTTGTGCTGGCGCGTTGCCTGAAGATAGTGATGGTAAAAGGGCGGCAGGACCGTGGCCTCCGGCGTACTGGACGAGCTCGCTGCGGCTGCCTGTGAGGCGGCCGCAACGAGGCCCAACGGGGGAGGCCCGGGCGAGCGCTAGTGGGCCGCCAACGAGTGCGCCACGCTGAGTCCCTGGGGGCTCAGCATCGGCGGACTATGACTGTGGCCCATGGGCGAGCCGTGCAAGTGGTCCTGCGGATGGTAGCCCTGATGCATGCCACCGCCACCCTGTTGGCCCTGCTGGTGACCCGGGGGCATGCCATCTATCAAGCCGTCGGCCAGCGTGTTCGGGGGCGTCATGCGTTTTTCCTTTTGCCTCCTGTTGCAGAACCACACTCGCACGACCTCCTTCTCGAGTTGCAGGCTGTCGGCCAGCGACGTGATTTCCTGCGCCGAGGGCTTCGGCTGTTTGTGAAAGTGCTGCTCCAGGGCTCCCTTGACCGACACCTCGATCGACGTGCGCTTCTTGCGTTTACGGCCCTGGGCGGCTATCTTGTCGATATTCGTGGGCGAGCCCGTCGACGAGTCGGCCTCTTCGAGCCACTTTTGCAACAACGGCTTGAGCTTGCACATGTTCTTAAAACTCAATTGAAGCGCCTCGAACCTGCATATCGTCGTCTGGGAGAAGACATTGCCGTAAAGCGTACCAAGGGCGAGGCCGACGTCAGCCTGCGTGAAGCCGAGCTTGATTCGCCGCTGCTTAAACTGCTTCGCAAAGGCCTCAAGATCATCCGAGGTTGGCGTGTCCTCCTCACCGGCGCTGTGTTCTCGATCCAGGGGATGTACCCCACTACCACCCCCGCCACCGCCACCACCCCCACCGCTTCCACCTCCCTGGTGCAAGGGATGGCCGGGCGGACTGTGGTTGTGGGTGTCACGCAAGTGGTGGCCCCCGAGGCCCGGTTGATGGCCACCGTGCAACTGATGAGGCTGATGATGGGGCTGATGGTGCAAGATGCCGTTCATGGCCACGTGATACTGTTGGAGGGTGACGGGCGAGGGCGAGCCCCCGCTTGGATTGTAGTGGGCTGAGGGCACGACGGGCGCGTGCCACGAATGGGGCGAGCCCATTCCCGGTGACTGGTGTGATTGCCGATGGTGGTGTTGCATCGCTTGTTCGTTGGCAGCTGCCGCAGCAGCAGCCGCAGCGGCAAGTGGTTTCACATCGAGGCCAGCCGCCACAGCTGCCGCCGCCGCCGCGGCCGCGTTCCCCTGGTGCGAGGGATGGTGGTGGTGCGGGTGGTGGCCCGCGTGATGCATACCCATCGAGGCGCCCCAGGGATCGCTACCCGGCTGGATGCTAGTCCAGGGATTGCCGGAGCTGAGGTTGGCTGGGTGCGAGAGCCCATTGGGGGAGGGCGACGAGGTCATCTGGTGATGGTGGTGGTGGTGGTGATGCTGGGGCGCGGGCATGTACTTCATTTCACCGGCGTCGGCCGCGCTGCGCGGCGAGCCCGACGAGTACCCTCCCACGGCGATGTTCATTCCGCTCACGGAGCCCGTGACACCATCCAACTCGCTCGATACCGCGCTGCTTATAGGCATGTACGTCGTAGTGGCCATCTACTCCTGGCCCGATCTGCTAAATGACCAGCAGCTCCCACGCTGCTGACGCTTCCAACAATACGGCACGTCACCTTTACGGTGCTTCTGCAGCTGCTGATTATGATGACGAGGACGATGAATACAATGATAATCGTAATGTTTCTTCTCGTGTGCCAAACGATTGCCTCTATGTATTATATTGTAGTGTACCACCACCTCAGCGCTGCCTTCATGTATCCGTATGTATATAAAAATTGTTACAGTATAGTCTGTCACACACGCTTAACTGCGCTCACACTCTGTCTCGATGGCCTATTTGGGCGATTGCCACTCGAGCACTTGACGGACCTGTTTGGACTGACAGCAGCTACCGCCACTAGAGGTAGCATGGTTGGTCACCCGCTGCCCCGTGTCTCACTGACCGCGAGTCACCACTTTAAAATCTTCTTTTTCCTCGCTGTCGTCGCCGTCGACAGAGTCAACTGCGTCTCTCTCTCTCTCTCTCTCTCTCTCTCTCTCTGTCTGCCTGTCTTATTATTGTGGGAGCCCTCCTGTGCCCCGGTTATACTCGCATTCGCGCACTAGTCTCGAACGTTATCACTTGGCGACGACGACGACGACACGGCATCACGGCTCAACAGTCGGTACTTCCTCTGCAGTTAGTTACGAGTTACAACAATTTGGCCGAAACACCGGCGTGCTGTCTGCTCGGAGCCGCTCGGGACGGACAGACGGACGATCGAGCGATCCAGCGAGCGAGAAAGAGAGAGAGAAAAAGAGAAAGAAGGAGGGAGCGGAGAGAAGAGGAATATCTTGAGGTCTGGCTCTCATGCGTTATGCATGCCGTAGAGAGCTAAAAGAGCGACTGACTGGTGGTACGGGATATACACGACCGAGCTCCCCAGCTCTCGTTGTGCGGCGGCGGCGGGCCGTCATGCGCAGCGCGGCCAGGTCGGGGCCCCCTCCTCTTACCCCACCCCGAGATCAAGTTGCGGCCCGCATTGGCCCGGCGGGCATGGTGGCCGTCGCAATAGAGGGAGGATCGCGTGCTCGGTCCCGCCCATGCGCTATTCGCCTCGGCCTACTTTGCTTTGCTTCGGCTAGAGTGCCGCTACCCTTACCCTTCCCTTCGATCTCTTAATACCTATATATACTGGCTGTCCGTACTTGTGTCTCTGCCGCTGCTGCTGCGCTACCGCGTACCGATATACACATACCGTGTGTACGGAGGGCCTCTAGCTCGTACCGTAGCGCCGTTGGTGCTCTCTCGCTCGTGGCCGGGCGCTTAGAGCCACTAGTGTATATATAACCCAACGTATCCCCATATTAAAAAGAAGTCGGAGGCGGAGGCGGAGGCGGAGGCGACCGTCAGTGCTGTTGCTAGCACTTTGCTATAGCAGTTCTGCGAAGCGTGCAACCAGCTTTCGCGGTCTGTCCCCCGATTTTCTTCTTTTCTTCCGCTCGAGCGCAACGTTGGGTTCAACCCTTGCGCGCGCACTGCCTCCCAGTTGCCTTCCTTTCCCCGAGCACCCGCCACGCGACTATTCCTCTCTGCCCTCCTTCCACCGCCCCCTCGCTCCTCCCTGTCCCCCTTTGTGCCACCTATAACTACTCGACTTTGCAGAACTCTCTCTCTCTCTCTCTCTCTCGAGCTTTTCTTATACGCCTTCCCCCGCGTGTTGTTGCTACTGCTGCTGCTTCAACTCGGTGGTCTTTTTGCTTGCATCCAGCTCGTGATATTATTTCACTATATATACTTTGTTTTCCCTTCTACCCGGCGCACCGCATCTTGCGATCTCGGGACGTATAATGTCCGTGAAACAGTGAAAATAGATGAAAAATATTCTTATAATTTGAATTTCTCATTTTTACTTGAAATCGCGCGACTTGTGATATCGCGCTGCAACCAGCTCGTAAAAAAAGAAATACGGCAGAATAAGAAAACACACCCCCTCGGTAGGGAGATCGTCGGGTCCGCTCCCGCTAAATCCCCCACGCTTCGAAGCTTATAACTCAGACCGAATGAGCGTTTCTTGGAATATTGTACACTCTCTCGTATGAAATTCTTGTCGGAATAATACAATTTTGTTCTTTACCGCATCCCACCCCCATCTCTATCTAAAATTTCCACACATTCCGTCATAATCGCCGTGTAACACGTGGAAAATTTATGGATTGCCTCAACATTTCGATGTATTTACTTATTAGTTTTTATTTGTCAAAAAAAAAATGTTTCCCATGTTTTGTGTGAGTTTATCGAGTAGTGGTGTAAGAAGTAAGTGTAAGTAAACTGTACTTAAAACCTTACTAAAAAAGGTCAGTCTTCACTTTGTGTTCCATGAAAAAAAAGTGCAATGTTTTGGCAACATGTACATCATGAGTTGCCACTATTCAACGAAGCAATCGAGGTTTGCGCCATATCGAAACAATATGCGTACAGTCGATTACCGTAAGAGGAAACGCAAGTCGTTATATGTTATCGTCGTGCACTTCTCCAAAATTTTGTGCGTCCCAATATACAAGTAGGGTCTTTTGAAGTAAGGGTAAAGTGACGCGACAGGTGTTAATTGTTAAAACAAAATCAATCGCTGCATTAGTCGCCGCGACAAATTATTGCCCGCCACAGCATCCAGTTACGAAAAATTGTCTTCGAGGGTAAGGTGACACGTACTTGGACTAACAAATAGGACGATGTGCCCCCGCGTCGCCGTGCCCACAATTACATGCACACGAGCAACAAAGTGGCGCGTAACGTAAAACGGGAGAATAACTGGCCCCGCAATAAACTAGAAGCGTAGCACGTTAAAGGCGTGCATAGATGAGAATCACGGGCAAAAAAGTGGGCGTGCAACATCCTCTGGGGGCGAATAGCCGGCGGGCATCGCAATAAAAGAAGAGCGTCGCAGGGGAACACGCACCGGCCGTGCGTAGGTAAAATACGTGCTCGATGTGTGCACGCGCAACAGGTATTACTTGCTATTCCTCGTAATTAATCAGCTCGTTCAGGGTATATATATGCAGGCAGAAAGAAAGAGAAAGACAGAGGGAGTCGGTGTAGTATGGTTAGCCAAAAGTAGCAGCAGCGGATAAATGAAACGAGCAAGTGGGTATATGTACGTTCGGGCGCCACTGTTTGTCTCCGACGCGACGCGAGACTGCAGCAGCGAGCGAGCGGGCACAGCTTTAATACATTTAAATGAGAGCCACAGGTAGAGGCCTTATTATGCCCTACGTGCCGGTAGCCACCCTTTGCGAGGGGTGAGTTGGATCACCGGTGTGGGTACACACATGCGTGCCTATGTATGTACAGCCCCCAGAGCGAAACAGAGACAGGGAGTGCGGCGCTCCCGTCAGCTAAGCGCAACGAGCGACGGTGGTGGTAGGTATACGTATGATAATACAACATCCCACGGGCTGGCATTAAATTTTCGGGACAATGTATTTTTTTTTTTTTGTTCTCTTTTTTTTCCCTCCACTACCAAGTGCTTTCGATTTGGCTTTTCTCGTTTGCCCTCGGTGGTGGCGGCTTCCAAACCAAAACAGTTAGCCGCGAAGCTAACGAGCTGGGCCGTTTGGCTCGGCGTCCATCCTGCCCAACTCGTTGCCCCCGCGCTAGCTCGTTTAAATATCCATGGCTAACTAAAGCCACCTGTCTGGCCGTACCTACTTCGTACCTAATCTTATCACTTGTTTTCTCTCTCTCTCTCTAGCTTTTTTTTCTTTCTCTTTCGCTCTCTCTCTCTCTCTCTCTCTCTTTCTCTACCCGCTGCGTACGCGCGCTTGCTCGCAGCCGAACAGGTTGCTGCTCATGGGTCACACAGGAGAGTGTAGTATGTATAGCCAGCGAGCTACGTGCGCCGCATGAGATTTGGGCTGTGAATCATTAACCTCTTATTTGAAAAGCAAACATGCCACTATCTCCCCCTTTCTCTCTCACTCTCACCTTGCCTCATGAGAATTGAATTATATTGCTGCGCCCTTACGCGCATACCTACACACACGCATACGCAAGCGCACATGCGCATACATGCGTGCCTGAGGTACGGTGTATCGTGTGTTGGTGCGTATATACATGTAACATATGTTTACGCCCGTTGTGCTCTGTGCCTCACGAGCTGTTCAATTATTTTGAAAGTCAGCCAGTTGTTTGATCTAAAGATGGCCTTACCTCCACGTATACGCACAGAAAACTGTACCTTCCTTCTCATTCTCGACTAATTGCTCCGCACATAGTATAGGTATTGAGACTAGAACTGCCGGTATACATACGCACACACACACACACACACACACACACACACACACACACACACACAAGCTCCCCAACGATGAAACAATCGGGCGTGGTACTAACACCGGCTTATTCCGCTCCGAAATCAAACATCGAAACACTCTCACGTTTCTTATCGCCATCGGGTGTTCAAAGGCACGCGCGATATGCCTACCGTGCTCCATAAATGCCGCGTGCACGGTACAGGCGAGCGGTAGTCGGCAAATTTTTCACACGTTACGCGCGACCCTGAAAATGTTGACAGTACAATATAGGATTTATAACACGCTATGCACGTGTATACACGAATATGCGCGCGCGCCCACGTATAACTATAATAATAATAAGAATACTAATATTAATGATGATGATGATGATGATATGGGTGATAAGGGGGGCGGGAGAGAAGTAAAATGGAGAGAGCGTGAGGGAGTGACGACGACGACCAGATCGCGTGCGCAACCCGAGTGTAAGTAAGTAAGCAAGTAAGCAAGCAAGAGGGCACCCCAAGAAGCATTTGATTTTTCAGAGGAACATCGCACTGATATTTGGTGTACAGGCGTATCGCTGGTACAGCGCAGCGCATTAGCCGAGTATATTAATGCACACACGAGTACCTACCTATAAGGACGGAGGCTGAGCGTTTGCGCTCACGTATATTATAACGCTGACTCGGCAAAGAGTCCCTCCCCGCGCTTTTATGCGTATGCTTACGTACACACATATCCTATGTACATACATACTAATACGCGTGAATGCATATACGCTGCAGGCTGTTGCCGCCGCCGCCGCTGCCACTGCCATCACCGCTGCCGGGGCTACGGGCTACGGGCTTGGTGATATGTACCGTTAAAAATCGTGCGTTCACTCGATTGCATTAGCATACCACCACCGCATCCATACGCCAACACACGCACGACACGCGTGTCTATGTGCACGTACACCATGTGGAGCCACACGTATCCGTACGGATACACGTGCACCGAAAACAGAGGATCGATGTATCGTACCGCACATGTACGCATGGGAGGAAAAATAAAAGGGTTATAAGAGGGGGTTCTGAAGGTGAATGGATCGAGGATTCCCGTTAAGAGCTAAACATAAATGAAATCAGCAAGTTACGTATACCAAACTGTCATTACTCTCTGCTTGTTCTCCAGGGGGAGGGAGTTAGCTAGCTGCGATGCGACGCGTCGGTGAGACTTACGGCAAGTGCGATTAAACGTCCTCGAATATTCGGTGCAACGTTACAATTATCGATACGCAGATTATTCCGGTAAGCACGCAAGCGTACCTGCAGCGCTGTACCAACAACCAGTTTTGACAGCAGATAACAGTGCAGAAACATTGGATTCGTCGCGCCAATTGACGGCCGTTGATTTGTTGAGTTTTTCTAAAATTTCATGTGCCTTATGTGCATCTACGTATGTACACGCACCTAAGTTCGATTATCGGTATACGTATTAGAGCTTATGGCTGGACTAAGAAGCTATCGATCTTTGAACCACAATACCGAAACGAGGTGTCCATAATGGTATCCAATAATTACTAACGAGGAATGTCGTTTAAGATGATCA